GCCACTGCACTTCAGCCTGGGCGACAAAGCAAGACTCCATCTCAAAACAAACAAAAATCAAAACAAAGAAAGTGAATTACTGATGTTCGCACCTCAGGGCCCAAATTACACGGGGGCAGCAGACCCGGCCCTGACAGTGATGGGATGCCCGGGCCACAAGGCAGGGGAGCCACAGGGCAGCTGTCTCGACACAGGGCGGGGTCACACCAGGGCAGAGGCACCAACTGGAGCTCACATGGCTCTCAGGAAGGAAACGGCCCCTTCCTCCTCTTCCCAGCTCCCCCTACTCCGCGACAGAAACCATGTCACTTATCACCACGGGACTGGTTTATAAAAACAGCAGAGGCCGGGCGCGGTGGCTCACACCTGTAATCCCAGCACTCTGGGAGGCTGAGGTGGGCAGATCACGAGGTCAGGAGTTCAAGACCAGCCTGGCCAACATGGTGAAACCCCCATCTCTATTAAAAATACAAAAAATACACCAGGCTCAGTGGCTCATGCCTGTAATCCCAGCACTTTGGGAGGCCGACGCAGGCGGATCACAAGGTCAGGAGTTCAAGACCAGCTGACAAACATGGTGAAACCCTGTCTCTACTAAAAATACAAAAATTAGCTGGGTGTGGTGATGTGCACCTATAATCCCAGCTACTCAGGAGGCTGAGGCAGGAGAATTGCTTGAACCCGGGAGGCAGAGGTTGCAGTGAGCTGAGATGGTGCCACCGTACTCCAGCCTGGGTGACAGAGCAAGACTCAAAACAAAAAAAGAAAAAAAATTAGCTGGGTGTGGTGGCGCTCACCTACAATCCCAGCTACTCTATAATCCCAGCTACTCGGGAGGCTGAGCCCAGCGTGGGCAAAAGCAAGACTCCATCTCAAAACAAACAAACAAAAAAATAGCAGAAACGCTTCTGAAGGAAGTTGGCTGCCTTTGCAGTCAGCGAGGTGGGTGGCCCAGCCAAGCAGAGCTCTGTGAGCTGCACACCCACCCCTACAGCCACCCACCCGCCTCCACAGCCACCCTCCCGCCTCCACGGCTGCCCTCTCCAGGACTCCGCACCGGGTGGGCTGCACAGGCCTGCGTCAGGCTCCCTACCGCAGCTCCCTGTGAGGGCTCCGCGGGGGTCTCTTCCCAGCCCCTGCACAGCCTTCGTGGGTCTCTTCCCAGGTGCCCTGTGGGCTCTACCTGGGGCATGTTCCTGCGCCCCCGCACAGAAGCCCTCATGAGTCTCTTCACAGGCTCTCTCACAGGTTCCTCCATAGACCCCCTCACAACTGCCCTGGCGGCCTCCCCTCTGGCTCCTGTGGGGGCCCTCGCACGCTCTGGGCCTGGCCGGAGCGGGGCACAGCTCCTGAGCAGCCTGGACATCCCTCCACCAGCAGTCAGCAGCTCTCCCTGGGCAGTGAGTGTGGGCCCGGCCAGCCCCGGCATTCCACCCTGCACTGTGACATCACAATTGGTTGTGAGGGACACAGGCCGACGACGCCTTCTCTCCCCACTCCCCTCTCCGAGCCCCTGGAGGCAGAGGCCCCAGGAAGGAGGCTGGGTGAGGAGCGCAGGCCCCACCCTCACTTTGGACAAGGAGGCCCTGTGGGAGGCTGGACAGTGGCCCCCAGAAGATGCACCTGACGCCTGCCTCATGGTCTAGCGGTTATAGGATCCCAGGCAGCTGGGGTTCTGCTCTCAGGGTGGGAACGCCAAGCTTTTAGAAAGGCAAGAAATCACAAGGAGACCTTCCTTGACACTGAAGAGATGTGTTCTGGTCGGGCGCGGTGACACGCCGGGAATCCCAGCACTTTGGGAGGCCGAGGCGGATGAATCACCTGAGGCCAGGAGTTCGAGACCAGCCTGGCCAACCTGGTGAAACCCCGTCTCTACTAAAAATACAAAAATTACCTGGGCATGGTGGTGCACGCCTGTAATCCAGCTACTTGGGAGGCTGAGGCAGGAGAATTGCTTGAACCTGGGAGGTGGAGGTTGCAGTGAGCCAAGATCGTGCCACCACATTCCAGCATGGGTGACAGAGCAAAACTCCGTCTCAAAAAAAAAAAAAAAAAAAAAAGATGTGCCCACGTCCCCATCCCCAGCAGCTGTGAATGGACCTTATTTGGAAATGGGGTCTTTGCAGATGCCATTAGGTCACTATGGATGATCCAGGCAGGCCCAAGTCCAATGACAAGTGTCCTTGCAGGATACAGAGTATGGACACAGAGGGGAGGCAGCGTGGGAAGACAGAGGCAGGCACTGGGGAGATGCAGTCGAAGCCAAGGGCGCCCTGAGAGGCAGGAAGGAGCCCCCCTGGAGCCGTGAGGGTGGACTTTGCGCTTCTGCTGTGCCAGGCTGGAGGCCAGGCCGCTCACTCACCTCCTCGAACACACTCTTCCGGAAGTCCAGCTCCTCCTGCAGGCTCTGGCAGCGGTTCTCCAGGTCCACACGCATCAGCGTCTCCTTCTCCAGCTGCTTTTTGGCCACTGCATGACCGTCCTCGGCCTGGGAGACACAGGACAGCGAGCCGGTGTGACAACGTGTCTGCTGCAAACGCCCTGCTGGGGCGTCCCGTGGCCCCTGGCACCTACCTTGGCCAGCTGGGCCCGCAGCTCGGCCACGTCACTCTCCAGGCCGCGCTTGTCGCTGAGGGCAGCTGCCAGCTCCACCTCGCTCCGGTGGAACAGGGACTCCAGGTCCTTCACACGGCCCTGGGCCACCGTGAGCTCTCCCTCCCTCTTCTTGGCGCTGAAAGTCAAGAGGGCAAGTGAGCGGGGAGGGGCAAGGTCCATGGGGCCGCAGGGAGCACCTCAGGGGGCGTCAGGCAAGCCCAAGGACAAGGTCACCGGGGCTTCCGAGCCCCAGACCTTCCCGTCCCACAGACGACGCAGCCCCACGCACCCAGGCAAAGGCACACGTGCCCTCATCGTCTGCCCTGCACTGTCAGGAGTCCAGCAAGTGACAGCCACCAGTGCTTGGGACACCCTGGAGGTGTGGGCTTTTCCAGCCTCTCCGGCCCATTCTGGACCCAGGAGGACCACTTGGGAAGAAATTAATGCATCCTCTATTACTGTTACAAAGGAAGACCCTGGCCTTTGAAGAGTCAGCCTTGTTTGTAAACTTGAGCTGTCTGAAGCAGGCTTACCTGGTCTTCCACTAAACCAAATTAGCTCCAACATTAGATATTTAAGATAGCAAATACTCAGGCTTTTTAAACACACAAATACTACCAGTGTGGATTTTAGGCTTTTTTTTTTTTTTTTTTTTTTAAGAGACAGGGGTTCACTTGTTTGCACAGGCTGGTCTCGAACTCCTGGCCTCAAGGAATCCTCCTGTCTCAGCCTCCCAAAGTGCTGGGATTACAGGTGTGAGCCACCCCTCCCCGCAGGGAACTAACTCTATCTCCCAAGCAACAGTGAGGACACCCACGGTTTCTCAGCGTCAGAACTGCTGACATTTGGGGCGGTCCTGGGCACTGCAGGGTGCTGAGCCCTGTCCCTGGCCTCCACCCACTTCAGACCAGAAGCCTCTCGCTGCCCAGTTTTGACAACCACAAATGTCCCCAGGAATCACCCAGTGTCCCCTGGGGACAGAATCACTCCAGGATGGGGACAACGGGGTGTATCTGGAATAACACAGCAAAGGCTGCTGGCTGGACATTAAAAGAACATCCACATCCCGGCGGCTGGAGCCCGTGGCCAGAGGTCAGAAGTGACGGGGGCCTCTCCCACCCAGCAGAATGCTGTGTTCCCGACTCTCCCTAGAGCCTTTCTTTTTTTTTTTTTGAGTTGGAGTTTCGCTCTTGTTGCCCAGGCTGGAGCGCAATGGTGTGACCTCAGCTCACTGCAACCTCCGCCCCCCAGGTTCAAACGATTATCCTGCCTCAGCCTCCCAAGTAGCTGGGATTACAGGCATGAGCCACCAGGCTCGGTTAATTTTATATTTTTAGTAGAGATGGGGTTTCTCCATGTTGGCCAGGCTGGTCTCGAACTCCTGACCTCAGGTGATCTACCCGCCTCGGCCTCCCAAAGTGCTGGGATTACAGGCGTGAGCCACCGTGCCCGGCCCCCCAGTGCCCTTCAAAAGACCACCTAGGCATTTGCCCAAGAACTGAAAGTGACCACCTGTCTAACTGTATCTCCATCAACAACTGTATTTATCTATATTATCTATGTGCATATATATCAATCTACAGATAGCTGTATCTTTCTCTCTTTCTTTCTTTTTTATTTTTTTGAGATGGTGTTTCACTCTTGTTGCCCAGGCTGGAGTGCGATGGCACAATCTTGGCACACCCCAACCTCCGCCTCCTGGGTTCAAGCAATTCTCCTGCCTCAGCCTCCCAAGTAGCTGAGATTACAGGCATGCACCAGCATGCCCAGCTAATTTTGTATTTTTAGTAGAGACGGGGTTTCTCCATGTTGGTCAGGTTGGTCTTGAACTCCCGACCTCAGGTGATCCACCTGCCTTGGCCTCCCAAAGTGCTGGGATTACAGGCGTGAGCCACCACGCCCGGGCTTACAAATAGCTATATCTATCTATTGCTGTATCTATCACTGTCTATCCATCTATCCATCTACCCATCATCCATCCATCCATCCATCCATCCATCATGCACCCATCTCTCTCTCTCCCACTAGCTGCCAAGCTCTCACTCTCTGTGGGACTCTTCCTTCCTTCCTTGTGTGACCCAGGGAGGGAGGGCTGCCCTCCCAGCTCACAGTGCCCTCCCTGCCCAGGATCTATAATAAATCCTCAAACTTGTTTCCTATCGCTGTGCTGAATTTGCACCTTCTGTCAGAAGAACCAGGAGCTGCCCCAGGCTGGGATCCCAGTGCCAGAGCAATGGTCAGGCAGGCAAACGCCGGACATGGGTCAGACGCGAGCTACAGGGCAGCCCGTGTGTAAACAGCCTCTCCTGTGAGGGGTCCCTGGTCGGGGGTCAGACAACCAGGTCTAAGGCCACCTGCCAGGTAAAAGCATCCGTGCCAGGTGCACTGAACCCCAGGTCTGGCTCCTGTTGTGTCCCGCCAGGGGCAGGGCTGCCAGCCGCTCTGGCGCTGGACCTGGTGAAGCCAGGGCTCTCCACACTGGAGATGTGGCATCTGTTTGCGTTTGAGAGGTATGAAGGCCAGAGACTTCGGCCACAAAGCTGATGCGCCCCCATCGGCAGCCCTCAGGGACACTCAGCTCTACTTCCCCGCATGGAGCAGATCTCCAGCAGGGCCTGGGGTGCAGATCCCGTATCTCTAAGCACATGCCACCCAGGCCAGGCCCTTCTGCTCAGAGGGCGGTGAGCCCCGCGGCCCTGCAGGGGATTTTTGCAGGGGTCTGGGGGGAGCTGGAGTCTGTTGGGCAAATCCTGACCGAGTGCCCGCTGTGTGGAAGGCACTGCTCTCACACCAGAGGTGCGTCTAGAACCCTTGCCTTACACTGCGGGATGTCCTTGCAGGGGGAGGCACCAGCGACACAGGCTGCCCACCAGATGGGAGGCTGCCTGCGGGCAGGGCTGGAGCGGGGCTGGGAGACAACCCTGGAGGCAGAGACCTGAAGGAGCAGCGCTGGAGGAGCCAGGGCCACCGCTGCTGAAACAGCCTTCCAGGCAGGCGAACAGCAGCACAAAGGCCCAGGGGTGAGGTGGAAGAGGCAGGCTGCAGACCAGCTCAGAGGACTGGAGCAGAGATCAGGGAATCTGGGAAGCTCCTCAATAACTCGGTCTAAACCACAGGGTTCCGCAGGACTGCAGGGCATGCCCAGAAGGCAGGGTGCTGGCTACCAGGGCTCAGACCCGGTTCCTAAGAGCACCAGGCGCTGAGTTAGAATCTTCAGCTGTGTACCCGGGGTTTCGTGGCAGGCTCTGGCTTGTCAGGTCCTGCACGCTGCTCCTTGTGTTTCTCTCATTGTGGGGTTTTGGAGATAAATTTGTTAGGATAAGAAAAACACTAGGCTTGGCCCAGTGGCTCATACCTATAGCCAGCGCTTTGGGAGGCCGAGGTGGGAGGATCTAGCCCGGGAGTTCAAGACCAGCTTGAGCAACATAGCGAGACCTCATCTCTACAAATAATTAAAAAATTAGGCCAGGTACAGTGGTTCACACCTGTAATCCCAGCACTTTAGAAGGCTGAGGCGGGTGTATCACTTAAGTCCAGGAGTTTGAGACCAGCCTGGCCAACATGGTAAAAAAAAGTAGCCGGGCATGGTGCTGTTAGCCTCCAGCTACTCAGGAGGCTGAGGCAGGAGAATCATTTGAATTTGGGAGCTGGAGGTTGCACTGAGCTGAGATCGCACCACTGCACTCCAGCCTGGGTGACAGAGCAAGCCTATGTCTCAAAAATAAATAAATAATAAAAAATAAAAAAATTAGCTGGGTGCAGTGGTGCCTTCCTGTGGTCCCAGGTACCCGGGGCGGGGCTGAGGCAGAAGGATCACCTGAGCCTGGGGGTTCGAGGCTGCAGTGAGCTGTGATTGTGCCACTGAACTCCAGCGTAGGCAACAGAGACCCTGTCTCAATGAAAAGGAAAAGATGGGCCTCACTGCAGACGCCATGCACTGCTCTGGAGATTGTGAACTGGGAATTCCTCAACACCTAGGGTGGGCACTGTGTAGCATTTTCTTTTTTTAATGTTTTAATTTGAGGTGAAATTCACATCCTGTAAATTTCAACTTCTTTTTTTTTTTTTTTTTTTTTTGAGACGGAGTCTCGCTCTGTCACCCAGGCTGGAGTGCAGTAGCCGGATCTCAGCTCACTGCAAGCTCCGCCTCCCGGGTTTACGCCATTCTCCTGCCTCAGCCTCCTGAGTAGCTGGGACTACAGGCGCCCGCCACCTCGCCCGGCTAAGTTTTCGTATTTTTTAGTAGAGACGGGGTTTCACCGTGTCAGCCAGGATGGTCTCGATCTCCTGACCTCGTGATCCGCCCGTCTCGGCCTCCCAAAGTGCTGGGATTACAGGCTTGAGCCACCGCGCCCGGCCAAATTTCAACTTCTTAAAGTGAACAGTTGAGAGGTGCCTGGTACAGGGCCAGCAGCAGCTCTGTCCCGTCTGCACGGTGCAGTTCTGACATTTCAGAGCTCCGTGCACCCCTGTCCAAGCTCTAATCATGCCAGAGCCTGCATGGCCCCACTAATGAACCTGCTTATTAAGCACGGTGGGTGCTGAAGGCAGACAGCTCAGAGCCGCTGCCCAAGCAGGTCCCGGGGTGCACCTGTGCTGTGTGGGATGTGCTGAGAGTGGGCAGCCTGTCCTCATTCGTGCCTGGCCCCAGGGTCCCCAGCTCCTGGCCACCATCAGGCGCAAATGGTCCCTCCTGGAGCCCCAGGCCCCGGGCAGGCAGGCAGTGGTCCCTGGGCCAACCTGGAGGGTCTCCTGTTGGCGAAGGGAAGCCAGCTCTCCATGGGAGCAGCACCAGCCCAGGCGGAGGGAGGGCGTCGGATGGAGAAGTCCCTTGCCCACCCGCCCCCGTCCACCCCGTGGTGCCGGGATCAGGGTGACGTCGTGCCCAGCCATGACCACTCACCTCTTGTTGACCTCGTCCAACTCTGCCCTCAGCTTCCCAATCTCTATCTGCAGCCGGGCGCGCTCTCGAGCTGTCTCATCCAGGACTCTCCGGGCGTCGGCCAGCTCTGACTCGTATAGCGCCTTGATGCCACTCACCTGGGGAGACCCAGGACAGGGTGAAGTGAGGAGGGACCCTTCCCCTTGGACTGCAGCAGCCTGGGGGCCCGGTCACTGGCCCCGCTCAGATTCCCGGGGACTGGCACGCAGAGCGAGAGGATGGCAGCCTGGGGACAGCCTGGACCAGCACAGCAGCTGGATGGAGCCTGTCCCCTTCCCCGGAGGACTGGCCACACCCAGACACGCAGCCCCTTGGCTGCTCTCATAGCGACATGATGCCTGGCCATTAGGTGCATTTTTCACACACTTGGTTTCAGAACCAGAAAATTGGTAGGACATTTAATCAAGGATCTCTCCCGCTGGGCACGTGGACACTGAGCTGATCACTGTCGGACAACTGGTGATGACAGCAACCCGGGGCCCTCCCAGACCCCGCTGGGCCCCTGAGACCCTCTGCCTCTGCAACCGGAGGCCCTCCCAGACCCCTCTGGGCCCCTGAAACCCTCTGCCTCTGCAACCCGGGGCCCTCCCAGACCCCGCTGGGCCTCTGAGACCCTCCACTTCTGCAAGCCAGGGCCCCCTCCCAGGCCTGCTAGGCCCGAGAGCCCCCTGCCCCCACTAGCCTCTGCAACCTGGGGTCCCCTTCCACACCCCTCTGGGCCCCTGAGACTCCCCCCAGGCCTCTGCAACCCGGGGCTCCCTCCCAGACCCTGCTGGGCCCAAGACCCGCCCCCCAACCAGTCTCTGCAACCTGGAGACCCCCTCTCAGACCCCGCTGGGCCCAAGATCCCCTACTTCTGCCAACTGGGGGCCAGCCCGTGCACCTCTATGCCCCCACCTTGCACGCAGGCACATGGCCCAGGCTCAGGCTGGGCTGCTCCCTGGGATGGAGGGAGGAGCATCTGGCCTCCCCCTGCCGTGTCCCCCCACCGACAGGCCAGCTGCCAATGTGGTGGCTCAGAGGCTCCCAGACAGAAGCTCCCACCGCTCAATCACAGGGATCTGCAGTCAGAGCCCCCAGCACTCCCCACCAGCTCCCCCTCCATCAGCTTCCCCTGGCCACCAGCTCCCCCCGCACCAGCTTCCCCTCAACCAGCGGCCCCCACCTTCTACCCTTCAATCACAGGGATCTGTAGTCCCCAGCTCCCCCCACACCAGCTCCCCACCC